TTTCATATCTTTCAAACAGAGAACATAGAGTTAAAATCCGAAGTAATTTTAGTAATTATATTTTTTCAAACCGTGGTGTTCCTCAAGGATCTATTCTAGGACCCTTATTGTTTATTATATTCATCAATGACTTTTGTCAACTCAAACTTTTTGGTAAGATAATAACGTATGCTGATGATTCCGTAATTTTGTATTCTTGCACTGATTTAAATCAACTAATTTTTCAAATTGAATCTGATTTACGCATAATTTCAAAATGGTTTACAATAAATGACTTAAATTTAAATCTAAATAAAACTAAATATATTTATTTCAGTTTAAGAAAATCAGAATTTAACTTAAATTTAAAATTTCACTCTCTCTCCTGCAAAAGTACTAATGAAAATTGTCAATGCTATATTCTACAATCTGTAAATAATATCAAATATTTAGGACTATATATCGATTCTAATTTGAAATGGAAAACACATATTAACAATTTAGTTAAAAAATTGCGTTTCATTTCAGTTAAGTTTTATCATCTTAAGAATAAAATTCATTTTAATTTTGCGAAAACACTCTATTACTCCTGGTTTTATTCTTTAATTAATTATGGTGCAATAATATATGGCGGTGAATATAAAACTAATTTACTTCCTTTAATCTCAGTTCAGAATAAATGATTCAAGATTATTAATCCTCTAAATATAAATAATTCAAGTATAACTAATACCAATATATATACAAGAATTAGCCTATTACCATTTCACCATAATGTATTTTTTCGTATTTTACTCTATTTACACAACAATAAATTAATATGCAAATTAAAAACTAATGTGTCTGAAAGGAGACCAACTGAAATATATGAGATTCCCCACTTTATATAAGAAATTTCGCGAAAACAGTTTTTTTACTTAGTACCTAAATTATATAATAATTCTATTATTATATAATAATTCCATTCCAGTTGCAAAACATCCAAATATATTATTCTTTTAAGAGTGCTTTATTTCAATTTATGATGAACATTGACAATTTAGATCTCTATTTTTCACTTTAAATGAAGCATTTAATTTTTTATACCAGTCTTGTGCCAATCCAAATGAATTTCTTATGTTACATTTGTTATTTTTTTATATAGTTTCATGTATGTTTATTTCTATTATTACAGTGTTCAGCAATATATGATGTCTTATGATGAGCAAAATAATTTATGATTGTAATATCCTCCCCCTTTTTTTTTGAATTTCTAATTTAGATTTATTGTATTACTTTTCTTTGTCGCCTGAACAGGATTTTCCTCTTGACAATGAATATATATTCTTTGTATTTATGTGTTTGTTTTTGTTCCCAATAAAGTTATATTAGTTTGTTTGTTTAAAAAAAAATTACATTATTTTCTTCTGAATTGTAATTGTATGAATTTGTTAAAGAATAACAAGATTAAAATTTTTTTTTATTTTAATATTTTCATCACACATTTACATTGTGAATGTTTTTTATTTTAAATGGTAGGCAGCAGATCCTCCTGTTAGCTGCCAATTACCTACTCCTATCATTGCTTATTAATAATTTTGATTCCTATCATGAAACAGTATTTTCTTCAACAGTAGAAATTATTCACTAAATTATTCAACTAAATTGTATCTACTAGAAAGATATCTGTTTGATTAGGCTAGTGCCCAAGCAAGCATGTACATGTTCCGTACATCAAATGTATATTCAGAATTATTATGCATACCGGTTTTATTATGCATAAGTTTAAAATCTCTTTGTGCAGCTTAGAACATGGCACGTGATTTTATTTTTCCGGTTATGCATGGAATGGATGTTTTCAAAAGAATTTATGTTTTATAAAATTTTTAGACGCATTACTTTTGTATTCTAGAGCGCTATTCATCATATGAACTGTACAGAGAATTCCTCTCACTGGAATGTAATTGTTTTTTCCATACTTTTCCAAGCTAAAGGCCGTAAGTATTCTTCATTTCTCTAATTTTAAATATTAGGTGACCACCTGCCACCATTTCATTTCAAATACCTCCAATTTTTAAATAGTACAGTGGTATGATAGAGTTATAGGGGGAAGATAGCATTTTTTGATGTACACATGCGCCATTAATTAAAGCATTCGAGCGAATTATTTGAAGATTGAGGAAGTCGTCTAATCCGCAAGTGTGAAAAACGGTGTTTTGAGAGGACACTATTTAACACGTTGTCGCACACTTTTTATGGTGCCACTCGAGCGGTGTTGCACCGCAATCAGAAACGCATTTTTAAAAATTGTTTATGACTGTCACGTGAAATTAAGCGCCAATCGTATGTTTGAAAGTGAAAAATACCATAATATGTCTCTCGACAGCTGTAGACGTCATTTGCTCATCACGAATTTTTTTTTTCTTCCCAAACAAAATAATAACTGATAAGTCATTTGGAATATGTTATATTTTCTGATGTGTTTCTGAATAATTATCAAATAAATTCATTAGTACACTTCATCAAAATGATGTCCCTTTTTTTATCAATTGAAATTTTAAGAATCACGGCGTCTACCGGTCACGAAAAATTTCATGACCTTTTTTCCAAATTCGATGTTTTTTAACCTTTTCGGGACGAGCGAGTCATATATATATTCGTATGGAATCGGAAACAGGATGGTAAAAAAAAATAAAAAGCGGAAGCGGAAGTTTGAGCATGGCTAATTTGACAACCATATTTTTGCTTTCACTTTAAATTTAATACATCCAATCAATGTTCGCAAAAAAATGTAACTACAAATTTTTTAATTTGAACTTAGTCTTGGTGAATTAAATAAAGAAAACTATTATTATTACCTCGCCCAGACTGCTCTAAAATAGTTTGGTTACCAGTTTTATCTTTTTTTACCGTGATTGTCGCCAACCTGAGAATGCATAAATGACTTTCCCGTCTCGAAGAGGTTAAGGAGTCTTGATACTGCCTTTTCATCGCGTTTGATTTTATAAATAGGAATTAGCTTAATAAAAAAAGTAGTAATTAATATATGTTTTTAAAAAGATTTTTGTTTGAGACAATAGGCATTCTGAAGACGACTATTACCGTCTTTAGCCTACATATTGCCATAATTTACACGGCTGTGGCCGTCATTAGCGTGAACGTGTTAATAGACACTATTAACCCTTTCGCGCCGACTGTCACAAATACGCGCCAACATAAAACCGTATCAATCAGGGTAAAAAGATAAAACAGGTAATCTAAGTAATTCTTTAGCAGCTTATTTGTGGGCGGAGTTATAATTGTTTGATTTATTTAAATCACCATTACTTTGTTCAAAATAAAACTATTTAGTTATACTTTGAATTAACATTGATTATCATATCTGCTAACTTTCACTTTTTCTGAGAATGAATTTTCCAAGTGGTAGTAAAACAATCATCGAAAAACAAAAAACAACCTTACTCAAAAATATATTAATATTTTGACTAGGATAAAATTCGCTATCTTTAAGATTAGTATGCTTTTATATATTTGTTGCAATTATTTATACGTAGTGGTGGTCAAACTCACTTATAATTATTATTATAATTCAAAAATTTTAATGACATGACATGAGTTTCGGTACCACTTTAAATACAAAATTAAAATCTTCCGGAAAAACCGAAAGAGTTGACAGGTATGGATTATATATATGATTAAGCTAACAATAATTAAAGTAAAAGCAAGGAAAGTCTGTCAAATTAGCAACGAGTACATTTAAGTTACCGTTTTTTATTTAATTACAACTTGATTCTGATTTTGTACGAATGCTTTTCTGAATCAATCGTCCCCAAGGGGTTAATGCATTCAAGTGAAGTAAATGAAGGTTATAGTGGTTATTACCTTGGCGAATATGAAAAATGATATTTTGAGAAATTTAAAGTTTGCGATAGCGCAGACTGTCTCGTCTGTTTCTCATTTTTATGAACCCTGACTTAAATATCTACGACTATTTTCTCACTATATTGAAACAAGTAAAAATAAATTTTCAAAATTTCTCAAACATAATCTACCTTTACTATAATAGTTAATTAATAACATTTGTTAGGGTTCGATACTGATGTATACAGTGATTTTGGGAGAATCTTATCCTCGTCATCTCAAATAGAAAGTGCGGATGTACCTTCATCAGTACAGGTGAGTATTTTTACTTTCCATAAGCAGACTTAAATAAAATGAAAAACTTTCTGTTAAAAAAAAACGTTACTATGACAATCGTATATTTTTGTAATTAATACAAAAGCAGAAGCTCTTTTCGAAAGTTTTAATATTATTTAGGATTATTTCTGACACCGAAAATTGCTTCTTCCTTAAATCTAGCCCTTTTTCCCAAAAACTTTCTTTTCGATTTACTTGTGAAAATATTTTAAACCTAATAATTTTGCTGGGTAAAAATTCCTTTCTTAAAACCTATGTTCTCCTTTTGCAATGAAAAATGTATTTAAGTCGTAGATATTGACCTAGTTATACAGAATATTTACAGCGAAATAAGAATCAGGATACGCTTAATTTGATTTCTTGAGCATTTAAAATCTTCATTGTTAACACATAGCAAGCTGGTCAGGTAAAAATATGTTTTGAAATTTTCTGCAATCCATATAAAAGTTTAAAAAGTGGTAGCAAAACTATTTCGCTTCAGCGCTGTTTTTCAAAAAAAATTTCCATTCAAAATTACTTTAAACATAAATTATTCCGTGTACATGTAATCAGTACTTCAATTGTTCGTCGTATTTTTTTTTTTCAAAATTGAAGTTGTAACTATAGTGAGAAGTTTGCTCCAACTTTTATGAAATCTTGCCTACCATATATACTATATAAAACGCTAATACGTAAGTATGTATCAATAAAACCGATGATATTTCTTTTCTCGCGTTGGCAACAGTTTTCATTTTTAATTGATTGGATTCGGCGCGCAAGAGCACGTAGTGAGCATCATATGGCTAATCTATATTATATAAAACGCTAATACGTTTTAATTGATAGGCTTCGGCGCGCAAGAGCACGTAGTGAGCATCATATGTCTAATCGGGTGAATTCTCACCGAATTATCAAAAAAATTCTCACAAAATTATCTTCATCGAAGCCGATGCTTTACATCCGGCGTTCAGTACTATTTCATATTGTTTTACAACACATGGTTTTAGCCCTCTGGTGGGAAAGACTTTAAAACAAAACTTACAACAGTTACTTTTCTCAACAACTGAAATTTAGAATAGTGTGATTAAGAAAAATATGTGAACTGTTTGCAATTTCAAATTAATATTGAAATGCACAGGTTTAGAATTTTCTACAGTGAAAAGTTTTCGGAACTTCAGTGTTCAAAAAAGTATACAAAAGCTAGACGTTAAGAACGTATCCAATGAGCGAGTAAAGCGATCATCGGATTGCAAAGCAATCCGAAATGAACTGCGAAAGCAGTTCCGAGGGTTGGCGAGCGCCAGCGAGCAGGGGGCGAAGCCTCCTAGTTTTTTAAAAAAAACTTTAATCTTAAACAGCTGTAATAAAATTTTTCTTTGTTTAAGTTTCCCGCATGCAATGTGGTAAAATGCCAGGTCTCATATATTTGCTAAAATGATTTCGTGACCGTTAAAATTATTTTAATCACCGAAAATCAAATTTATTTATTCAAAAATAATGTGGTAAGGCGAAAATTTTTTTACTATATCCAACTAAATGCATGAAAAAAAACTTCCCACTAAGAGTGGAAAAGTTAGCAAGTACAGTCAGCTTAGTTGTGGTTTAATAATATCATTATCTAAATGATAACGATATTATTTAGATAAAGATAATTACTCTCAATACATACCACTTAATACATTCCTTACGATCACTTAAGTAATGTATTTTCAATTACATTTACATATTGAAACTACATTTACGAAACTGTACTTTAACTTCTAATTTATTTCTTGGTTACTATAAAAATATTCAACGACTTATCACCAACGAAATTATTTTACAATCGTGAGAAAATAAATAATCAAATTTTTTTACAGTTGAATTTTCAGAAACCAGAAACTAATTTCGGTTATCTATAACATGATTCAAGGCGTAATAATCATAATAATTCAGAAAATTTTTTGTAAAAGTGTGTGAATTTTTAAAATTAATGAAATTTTAAAATTGGTGATATTAGTAGTTTTCGAAAAAAAACTGATTGTCTATTGATTATTGCAAACAAAATGTCATTTATTTTGCTTTTAATTAAAAAAAAGTACTTCTAAAGACACCTAGTCTCCTCACGAGGGATTGTTGTAACAATGCCTGTATGTAATATGAATTATTTATTTTTCAGAGAGTAGCTAATCAAGTAGTGAAGGATCTGAGCCCCGAGAAATTCAAAGCAATGAGTTTAGAAGTGAGTACTTATAATATTACTTAAAAACAAATGAAAATCAATAATAGATTAAAAACGAAAGACATAAAAACCAATTTTAAGGCATGCTGTCTAAAAAACCGAAGCCAGTTTAAGCTTCAGATGAAATGCACTTTTTAAACTAATTCATTCCCTATTTGCAAATTTTCAACAATATTATGAATATTGCTCTTCACGTAATGAAGCGACCCGGGTTTGAAAACCAGCGAAGGCTTGCCACTGACAACTTGCCTCGACCACAATGATAGCGAAAATATCACGAATGATAGAATCATCATCGGTTTGATTTCTCTTGCCGTTACTATATTATGAAACTGCACACTCAACATAAAATATTTGAATACTTGTAATACTTCTTTTTTGAAATGTTTATTATCTGGTTTTTGCCATGACAGTACGAATACGGGCCCCCGGAGTACGTATTGTTGAAATTTTGGAATAGAGGTTTTGTTATGTGATTTCTCATCGTAATATTTTTAATGTTTTGTAAACTGTAAATATTTTGTACTGTTTATTATGAAATTGCATACTCAATATAAAATTTTGGAATACTTGAGATATTTCTGTCTTTTGAAATGTTTATTATGTGGTTTTTACCATGACAAAACAAATGCGGGCCCCCGGGGTACGTATTGCTGAAATTTTGAAATGGAGGATTTGTTATACGATTTCTCATCGCAATATTCTAGAGTTTTGTAAATTTGACAAACTGTAAATTTTTTGTATTGTTTACTGCGAAACTGCACACCCAACATAAAATTTTAGAATACCTGTAGTGTTTCTGTTTTAAAATGTTTGTTATGTGTAATTTGCTATGAATGTCACTGGGTTTTAATGTTTTGTATGAAAGTGAGCTTTCACTGTGAATATGTTGCTGAAATCCTGATATCATTGCTGTGTAAACCAGTTGCACCTGTAAAATTATGTATAAAATTTTTTGGATGAATAAATTGCGACCTTCTGGGACGGGGCGGGTCGGTAGATTGTGGATTGGTGGCTGCTCTGCGCGTGCAGCAGCCAGACTAACAAAATTCAAAATCTTGCTCTTTTTCTAAAGCTCTTGTACCCGTCATCACATATTGCTCCGAATCGCGATCCTCCCCGTCGACGCAAGTGTTGCCATTCCGTCGTTGCCAAGCCAAAGTGCCAATTCTCTATTGATGCAGGTCACGTACGCGCATAAGGTCTTCAGTATTACCTGGATGCCCCCCTACGGGGCGGGACAGGGCTAAGCCTGGCTTCTCTTGCCGTCAGACTATCCATGAACTAATCTTTTCGTAAAAAAAGAGTTTACAACGAGGGTAAATTACTTAAAATACTTCATCAAAAAGACCCTTTGTCTTCGAGTAAGGTTCATGGTTTTATAGCTGCGAAATCGAACATTGTTACATTGGCAAATCTAATATGGATTGCCTGTTCAACACTGCTGATAAGATTACCATGAAATATTTTGTATGGTAATATTGAATGTAATAGAACCAAATGGAAATGCTTTTTCTACGGGACCTCCCTACTTGTACATGATCGGCATCACAGCCCGAATTAAATCTAGACGACCTGGTTCCATTCGATTGCCGTCCAATCCTGCCGAGAGCGACACCACTTCGAACGGAAGGAATGATGAGTGAATGTCAATCCTGCCTACGCTGTATAGTGGAGCACCACTTCTACAGCTGATGTGATGGCACTGATTGCCATCGCATATGACACACGATCACCCCTATTATAGATCCACAGTGCCATGAAAGCCAATCTGTACGATCGTCACATCCTTTAGCCCCCATGTGTTTTCACTTATTGCACGTGTGTTTTCTTCACCATCTTTCATAAGACAATGCTCGGCGATATACAACAAGGGTGTCAAAGTCATGCCGTCCTAACCTGCTAGATTCCCAGATTTGTCACTGAACTAGGAAAACTAGAAATATCTGGGACCGCTTAGGATAGGAAGTTGAACAACCTCCGAGTGGAGTCGATTTGCTGGTGTTTATACAGCAAATATGGAACAAGATGGCGCGGCATCGTAAGGGACTTACATGTCTCTGTGCCCGACTGTATCACTCCTTGCCTAGAGGTGGCACTAGAGGGTACTGAAGCTTTCATTCATTTGTATTCTTTCTTATAGTAAATGATCATTTTGCTTTCATTTTTAACTACTTGCTTACATCAACGTTGTACTTACGTATGAAGATTTCGTTTCAGTCTGACAACTCTTTCAAGGTGCGTTAATTTTTAATGGCAATAAGTGTATTTACTTAATATAAATATTCCTATTGACCAAGAATTGTATAAATCGTCAATTTTATTAAAATATTTTAAATAATTATCAAATGAAATAATTTTATTAAAATGTTTATCACTGGGCATCGTGAAGAACGCTCGGATTGGGCTTTAAAAAACTGGCTGTTCAAATAAAAAACTCACTTAAATGTCTTAATACGAATCGTCATTATTTATCTAGAAGAAATAAAAAACACAAATATTTTAATTGTAATAGATTTTTTTGCTTCCAAAGCAATATCAATTAATATTAACATACAAATCATCTCTAACATTTTTTGTTAAAAATTCTTCAGAGCGATGTAGCAATTAGTTTCGGAAAAAAATTAAACTTGTTGATAAATTGATAGTAATTTTGATTGGATAAAAATTTTCCTAGAACCAACTTCGATTAAATAAAAATGACCATACTCGTTAGAGAGATTTTTGTAATTAAATGTTTTTCTCACGAATTGCTTTTAGGAAGCAGAAAAATGGCTGAACACATCGAATACAACGTCAAGCAAAATGTATTGCGAATTCATTGAAAGACACGGTCATCGATGTCTTAAAGAAGTAAGTCTATATTCATTATTACGATTTGATGTAATATTTACGTTACTGTTAAATACGCAAGCTGCAGAAGCAGTGTAGACAGAGACTCTGGATAACAGAATTTTGATTAAGATGTCTAATTAAGTCTCCCTTCAAAATTTTGATCCTTTAGAATTCACCAATCTGTGGTGGAAAGACTCATGTGAACGGAGAATTCCCTAAAAAATCACCTATTTCAAAGTTGTTATGCATGCATCAAATGCATTTTGCCTACCCAAATATTTTTTAAGTAGACTTCCTTAGGGTCAGTATTTTAAATTTTGTCATATATTTACAATATTTTTATTGTTTAATTAATGTTTTTCAAATCTAATATGAATTTTTTAAAAAAAATATACAACTTTATTCAAGCAAAAAATAAGTTTGCAGAAAGTGACTATTAAATGAAAAGTCCCTCTCGATGTCGGTCACCGACTCATTAGGTTTGAAGAAAAAGTGGCTACTAAGTTATTAGAGTCTACCGGCCACTGGCTACTAATTGAAAATTTAAATTTTCTGGTCCAGTTTTAAGTCTCGTTCGTATTGTTTTTGAAGTTGATTTATAATGTTCTTAAAGTCTCGTAGCTATTCAATTCTACGTGCAAAATAAAAACTTCTAAACCTTTATTAGTTCTGAGAGTTCTAGCATTATTTCCCAGGAATGAAACTTTCGCCCCTCGTTATACAAATAGGCTGTTTTTGCTCAGACTATTTCACTGATCTAACGTTACGAACCTATTTTGCCCGACCCCCAGTGTTTTCCAACCTTTTCATCGCCCCGTACCGGTAAACGTTTGATTTAGGGTAAAAGTTCTACCACTCTTTTTTTAATATAAGGGCTCCTTTTGCATCCTTGTATTATGGGGCATATTCTTTCGCGAATAGAATTTTCTTGTAGAACTAATCTAACCTCCCAATTTGAAACGAAGTCTATTTAATTTCGTATTTGGGAAGAATAATACAATTTTGTTCATCGAGCTTGCATTCGTTATTTTACAAAGCAATATTTACTGTATTCTAAAGATTAGTTTAAAAAAACTTTTAATTTTGTTCAATCTAAATATTAATCATAATTTAATTTATTTTATAGATTTGGGGTAGCAGTCAAAATACAGTACTCGGTTCTCGGATAGTGGTCTACAGACTGTGGCTTGCAAGCTTATGAGTCTCGAATTTCGGCTACGTGCGCATGAGTGATGCTTCGAATCAGAGTGTACCGACTACGGCGGTCTGAATTTATTAAAAAAGCGTCTTAGATCTTAAAACTAATTTTCCTAATATATAGGGTGTTCCGTAATTACTATCCGTAACCTACATTTTTTGAATCCTTTACATTGACGTTGCCAAAAGGTTTGCACATTATGCATCGCAACTGATAACAGACTCTGATGAATTACTATTGATTGAGGTGGGATTAAATACTTCAAAACAAACTTGCTTGCCACTGGCAGGTGTTTTTTACCGTACGTATTGTCTTAGTTTTTTCTGGCAGTTAAATAGGTTTCGATATTTTTTTAAAAATCTCGCTTTCATCGTTAGTGGTTTCTAAGATTTGAATGACAATAATTCCTTCTAAAAATAGTTTTTTTTTTTAAATCCTGGAAGTGTATGATTTTTTTACATATCATATTTAGTTAAAGTTATAGAAATATGTAATAAAAGTAGTGATTATGATGGTTACAATCCAAAGCATTTACAGATGCTGGGAGTTTAGTAACCAAGCCCTTAGCTTCTTGCTTCCTATTATTTTTGTACGACAGAGGTAAAAGAATACAATACAATGCATGTGTCTAAATGTACACAGTTCATAAGGCGTCTAGAGTAACATAAAATATAGTTAGGAGAATTTCTGAATTCAATTTTTAAAGAAGTGACCACTAAGACAGTCATGGCCTGTTAAAAGACGTATTTTCTCAATTGCTGAGGCACGAAGAAAATCCCGAATAATGGAAGCCAGACACTCCCAGGCTTTATATTTTGCATAATTATTAGGTAGTAGTTTATGTCTTTTGTTAAATCCCGGTTTAATCATTCTTTTTGTTGAATTTAAAGATCGACACAGCTTTTGACCTTTGGAGAATGTTAGTGCTACTTTTTTTCTCTAGGAAGTCAGCCTTGTCATTTCCTTCCACTACACAGTGATAGAGATCCCACTGCAAAGCAATAGTCTATGACAGAGAATTTAGAAGTGACCGAAAGGTATAGATACGTTTCGAGTTGCACATTTTATTGCTGGAAATAGTCTGTAGAGCAACTTCAGGATCAGAAAGAATAAGAATTTTATTATAGATTTGTCTTCTGGCAATCTCTACCTCTCCATCGAAGCTAGTGGCACCTATAGCTCTGTAAAAGGAAAAATGATCGCAAAAAATACAACTCCAGCATTAACACCCTAATCAAGGCAGCTATCAATGAGAGTTATACTACCGCGCAATTTAACACATTGCTAACCGGTCACGAGTTAACTCGTGTTTTCGTGGCCAACCGTTGGTGACCGGTCACGAGTCTTAGCAATCATATAAGCAGTGATTTCGTGGTGACTATTTTAAAAAGTGGGCGTAACTTTCCATACTTTTCAAGTTTTACTATTTAATTCTCTACCAATTTATGATAACTTTACGAAACCGGATATATTTGCAAAACTTGTAGGGTACCATTACACGTAGGTGATTGTTATACTTTTTATCATACGAAAAAGAAATATTAAGAGTTGAATAATAAATGAAATTTTTTAAAGTGCATTAGTTTGTTTTACTTCTATATCCGCTATCAAAACCCGCATGGAGTAATTTTCAGAAAAGTTGCCGGTCAGCAATGTATCAATAAACAGCATAAGTGCTTCATGATTGAGTCCGAGAAAAGTGGCTCGACAACTTTTCGTCTTCCATTGCTAATGCTGTGAACGCCCTTAAATAGAATTTCAAATAACTGATAAAACAAAATTTGTTTTTGAGTTTTTTATCATATATATGTAGCTTACCATACAAAGATGCAAACTATATATAAAAATCTAAATTTTGAAATTTTTGTCGCTTACGTTGATTTTTCAATTGCTCGGCACAATGGCACGAAGTTCTTAGTGGCATATTTCCCTTTTTTTTTTTTATCAATTTTTAAATAAAGTTCGATGTCTCAGTATTCGAAACGGGGTTAAAATCTAAATAGTTTTGTGTTTACAATATTCAATTTTTTTATTCTTTTTCAGTTTGATGTTAATTCGACACCATGGGGTCAAGATCAGCGAATTTTTATTAAACTCCTACAAGTATGTAAAATTTTCTGTTTTCTTAATAAATATTTGTAAATTTGTCTTCTAAAATATTTTTTTTCTTGTTTCAGATTAAAGCAATGACCACTTGTATTATACATTTAATTGCTTTAATTTAATTTGTAATCTTCATTTTTTTGCTCGAAAATTAGTTATTGCACTTAATACATATAAATAGGTAATGCACATTTTTATATCCAAACTAGATTTGTTTTTCTCATTATTATTGCTTTACTATTATAACTTGGGATGCCAATTACTAAGTGTTTGTAAAATATTCGATAAAGTGCTTGACAGTCAAATCCAAAGCTTATATGATTTTCGTTAATTTTACCAACATTTTAAAAGACTAAACATGAGAGAACTGGAACAAATTTCTATTCTTTTTGGAACTTATGAATAAAAAAACTATAACAAGTAACTTTAAATTAAATTTAAATAAAGAATTTTGCATTAAAACATAAACTTTCCAAACATAATTTTTTCCCTCCACAAAGCTTAGAAAATTGGCATTCCTTTCATACGGACGTTCGAAAAATTAATTCGAATTGTTCATTGAATGTATTGTCAGCCGATGGAAAGTTTGGTCCTTGTGGAGTTACTTTAGTCCAACACAAAATATAAGTTGTTAATTTTTGAAATCAGCGAGCAAAATGATACAGTTTTTGAAAACCATTGTTTTGATGAATAAATTGTTAGCCTCCAAACTTTTCATTATGGACTAATCGAATTATTAAAATAATTCCAGTATATTAAAATGAGTTCTAAAGAAACGCCACGCAGAGGTTATTTTGGTCCAAAATTTTAAAAATTGCAGAAACAGCAATTTTTTTATAAAAAAAAATGTATAATTTACTTCCTTATATTTCGTTAACAAAATGAAATTCAATTTGGGTCTTGATAGCCCCTATATTATACTTTTTATTGACGAATATCTAAGTGCAGTAGTAGCACTTGATTTACGTCACACAAGTGCTGCCCAATGAACTATTGCATTTTTTGAGCTCTATTTAGCTAGAATGCCACGCAATCTCGACTCTGATCAAAAGACGTGGACAGCACCTGAGCAGGTACTCTTCTCTAGAAACTTCACACCACAATTAACGAGAGGACTTTCAACCACGACAAATTTAACATGCACCTCGCTTGCACTTTGGTTGTTTTGTTGGCCCCCAGGATCGAACTCATTTAACTTGGGTAACGAACCAGCAATGCGAGTGACGCCTTAACCGACTTGCGACAATGGAATGGCTCTGTAGTAGTATCAGTTATGTTTAAATGCGTAGATTTACAGATTTTATTAAAATGTGTTACTCATCATTACAAACGAATAATTCGCATATATATGAGAGTTCTTTTTTATAATACAGTAATATAACAATATTCAATATATATATATATCTATATATATAAAAATCTCTTGTCACAGTTTTAGTGGTTAAACTCCTCCTAAACGGCTGGATCGATTTTGATGAAATTTTATATGTATATTCAGTAGGTATGAGAATAGGTTTATAACTAATTTTTTTTTCATTTTTTGGACAGATTTAACGTATATTTTAAATATATCTTTATTTAATCATATTCCAATCCAAACTAGACATAGAAACCTGATAAATCAAAAAGTAATATTCACGCACGTTGCAACAATTCACTTTAAACTCTAATACTTATGCTCGCCCTTAAAAGAAGAGCATCAAATATATTTGCAAGTATGTGAATAAAGGCAGTGATATGGCAGTATTTCGAGTTGAAAATACCAATGTGACCGCTTTTCCAGTGAATAACAACGACGAAATAACGCTCTACCAAATTGGCCGGTACATCAGCTCCAATGAAGCTGTTTGTCGCAACTTTGGATTCCCTATTCATGATCCTACCGTTAGTCATTTAGCCGTCCATCTTGAAAACGGTCAGCGCGTATATTTCACGAACGAGACAGCGATTGACAGAGCTATAAATCCACCAAGAACTACACTCACCGAATTTTTTTGAATTGTGTAATCGTGCGGATGCGTTTGATGCCTTTGCACAGACATTACTCTGTTCAGAAGTACCACACTATTTCACATGGGCTCAAACAAAAAGAAATGGACTTCCCGCAAGCAAGGCACACCGATGAAGGCCGTTGTCCCGGTTTATTCAAATCAAACGCCTTGGGGAGAGCATTTACAGTCAATCCAAGGCAGACTTAGTGCTTTTATCTTCGAATGTTGTTGGTTAATGTCACCGGCTCATTGTCATTTCAAGATATACGTAAAGTCGATGGACATCAGCATCCAACGTATAAAGATGNATTTGTTGTAAAACAATATGAAATAGTACTGAATGCCGGATGTAAAGCATCGGCTTCGATGAAGATAATTTTGTGAGAATGTTTTTGATAATTCGGTGAGAATTCACCCGATTAGACATATGATACTCACTCTGTGCTCTTGCGCGCCGAAGCCTATCAATTAAAACGTATTAGCGTTTTATATAATATAGATTAGCCATATGATGCTCACTACGTGCTCTTCCGCGCCGAATCCTATAAATTAAAAATGAAAACTGTTGTCAACACGAGAAAAGAAATATCATCGGTTTTATTGATACATACGTATTAACGTTTTATATAATATATAATATGATATATGAGAATGAAATATAAATTAAAGTCTAGTGTTTGTTCATGCAAGAATTAGTTGCAAGATCAACCATTCTAGTATGTTATAATTAGGTTATATGCCAAACAGAAAAGTGTGCCGTTTTTCTTCAAAGATTCTTAACTTGAATGATTTTAATTACTTTTAATTTCAGGTAATTATCTATAAAATACGCTCACACAGGCTAAAACTTTTACATAATGTATTTTTAAAATGTTTTTCGTTGTGTAAAAAACTAACAAAACATTTAATGTCGGTATGGACTTTGAAGAACAGGGTTCCCACTCTTTTAACGAAGCAAAAATTCAGCACTTTTAAGGACTTTTTTTTGAAAAAATTAAGCACTTTTTTGAAAAAATTAAGGACTTTAAATATAGTATTATTGTTTATCATCAGTGACAGTGCAAATTATTTACCTTTCTGAAAAATCAATAAATATAAAAATAATAAAAAACAATTTTATTATGATTTAAGAACTGATAAAATTGTATTAATTAACAGGACTCGTCAAAGAAGCACCAGATAAATTTTGCAAACCCTGGTCAGGTTTTTTATAAAACATTTTCAGACTGTTAAAAGTTAACGTCATTCAGATTGTAAAAGTTAACGTATGAAACTAACCTGTATTCCATTTTCAATGATGTCACTGAAATTGAATAAAAAGCAATTTTATAATTATTTCTAGTTCAAAAATTTTTCTGATACTTCTTTTCTTAGCGTTTTACTTAACCCTTTTGAAGGCCGTGGTAAGTATACTTACCACCACGTTTTATCACTTTTAATTAGGGTTTCCATTTTTCAATAACTTCAGCTTTCTTGAAGTGAGTTTGAATAAAATTGGTAACCATTTGTCACTTTTAAAAAACTTATAAAAGTTATAAAATACATAATTCCTTTTGAAGTTTGTAGCATTTAAGGAATTAATTTTATAAATAAAGAAAAATAAAAGTCAGTAAGTTTCTAATAGGTCATGTTAAATATATTTACCACCAAAAAAATGGCATTTTTATAAACTAAATTAGTTTTTTTTTAAGATTAATTACTGTTCTTAAAACAATTTCAATTCCAAAAATAATTTAATTTACCTTTACTAGAAATAATGGGTCCGTTAAAGGGTTAATCCCTATAAGCAGATGCGTTACCAATAGAACTGAATTTCTTGAATTCTGTCAATTTTGAAGTTTAGTGTGGGTCTTCTACTTAGGTACCTTAAAACTGCAACCCCCAAAAAAGCACTATCTCTTCCATGTGCATTATGCCCCATATTCCTTTCTTCTAGAATGCTTCACTCTCCTCATAGAGTATCATTCTAGGCAAAAGACAGAATGTATTAATGGAAGAACCAATATATTAATGACTAAGCATACTTTCTTCCCCTTACCTATAGCCCTCCTACACACATAAATTTTTGTCTCTCTAAAATGCTTTACCCTCGATGCATGGTCTAATTCCAAAAGATAAAAGAACGAAATTTTGTTTTAAAAAATTGAACTGAAAAATTGTTATGAACTATAGTTTGTTGAAAAATTAAGTACTTTTAACCCTATCGCGCCGACTGTCACAAATACGTGACAGCATAAAACCGTATCAATCAGGGTAAAAATATAAAACTGGTAATCACAGTATTTCTTTAGCAGTTTATTTGAGGGCGGAGTTATAATTGTTTGATTTATTTAATTCACCATTACTTTGTTCAAAATAAAACTATTTAGTTATACTTCGAATTAACATTGATTATATATATGATTAAACTAACAATAATTAAAGTAAAAGCAAAGTAAGTCTGTCAAATTAGAAACTACTACATTTAAGTCACCGTTTTTTATTTAATTACAATTTGATTCTCATTTTGTACGAATGCTTTTCTGAATCACCCGTCCCCAAGGGGTTAAATTAGTGTTGCCACACTGGCTACATTGCACCTAGAAGGGTTAAAAGAAAAATCTTTCGCAAAATGATTAAGAGTTGTAATTTCTAATAATGTTCTTATAAGATACAGAGTGGGCACGCCTCTTTTAAAAGATTTTATTTTTATTTTTATTAATTTGTTTTGAGTAATTTCTAATTAATTACTTTCGCAAATATTTAATTTTGTAATTAATTTAAATATCTTTATCCAAAAACTTGTTAAAATTACTTGGAATATTTCAGGTGGCTTTTGAGATTCGCTATTCCAAATTGTCGTAGGGGTGTAAGATCGAGAGAAACTAGTAAGGTAGGTTCCACTTCTATGTTATGATGTTCCTTTTCATGATTTTTTGTCATGGTGTGCTAAAGTTGTTTTTTTTTCTTCGTTGCAGTCTATGTTGATCAAAAGTGTGGACCACTACAGAAAAGGTTTTAGACATTTGGCGAAGTTGATGGTGGCAGAAGGACGCATTCCGGATAAAGACCTTATTTATTTTATGACATTGGAGGAAATTAGAGATTTGTTGAATACGAGATATCCAAAAATAATATCCAGGTAAATTCAGTTTTCTTTCATTTGATTTCTTTAAATTTATTCAGTTTTCTTTAATTTTCGTTGATTTGGAAAACGAAACTTATAAAATAATTGATGATACTTCGATGATACTTTTGATACATCAATGTTGATGATCATTGATGATAAATGCTTACAGACGCTTGAATAATTTTGTGTTGCTGCCAACTTGTACGATCGCAGAGAAATAATTTTCTTAGTGGTAGACCAACTTGCGTTTTGGTGTACTAAATGGTGAAATATAAAGTTAAAAAAAAATTTTTTTGGACTCAATAATTTAAAACAAATATGTAGATAAGATCTATTTGTAGGCTAAATATGCTCCTTTATGTTTTAATAGTTTTGTTCTTAGATATTTCTTTGAAACTTAATTGTTGATTTACAACCGCTTTGTAAAATCTTTTTCGACGGCCGTAAAAGTTATCATATAGACTTGAAAATGTATTAATAGTTTTGTTTCTAGAAAATTCTACCAGACTTAATTCTTGTTTTTCTACCACTTGTGGATTTTCTAACAATCGAGAATTCATTTGAAACATTTACTGATAACACTGGAGCGTTTTTTTTTGTTTTTGTTTTCTTGCATATTTTTGTTATCTGAGATAATAATGCGTAGTTGATTTAAAATCTCTAATCAGTTTCTCTCTAAAATTTCATATAATATTTAAAATAGAATATAAATATTTCAAAATATCTGAAAAAATACAAATATTTTGAAATATAATTTATAAAACAGTTTGCAATTTAGTAATTTATTCCTCACCACAAATTTTTGAAATTCACTCAAATGAATTCTAAGCGTACCCACTTCTCTGAAATGCCAATTGTGGCGTCACATTAGCTTTTGTAATTTTATTTTAAATTATTACCAGTGTTCAACAGCTTACCCACTTCTGGATTTGCGAAATCAGTCAATATTCAACTCTGTAGTCTTTTAATTTTAAACCCTACCTAGAAGACAGGAGAACTCCGTCTCAAACATTGGTACAAACTAGCTTTCTTTTAAAATTTAGTAATGGAACTAACTTGTAATTGCGTAAATGGTGAGGATAGCGGGAAAATAGTTTATGGTTAGCCATTGACAAGAGCATTCCAATCCATTATCCTTATGAACTTGAGGATATTTTACGTTAGCACTGTGGTTGGTGCGAGACGACGGCAGAATTTCTATCGATCAGCTTTTGCAGGGATTCGAACAGGGTCTACTCTTTATGAGGCGAGCATTCTAGCCCTTGAACCATCATGGCTGAACTTGTACTTTTTGATAAATTTCCTCGAGTTATATCTTGACGAATAAGACAAAAATTCTATTGCATTCCACAGTGATATTCCTGTTTACAATACAAACGAACATTTTGCCAGTTTGTATATTATATTTCAAATTCTTTGTATATTTTTTCAGAGCAAATCAACGCAGAAAAATATTTCCTGTGGTTGATCAATATAAGTTTCCCGAAATCATGCGTGGTTTTCCCAAACCAGTAAGTGTTCTATTTTAGCTTATATGTAAGAATTTAGTATACATTTTTTTTCATACATTTTGAAGTAAAATGAAGTTAATTTAACTCTTGAGAATAACACTTAAGATATATTGATGTCTTCAGTTGTAAAGTTTTTTTCCGGAAGTTCTTTATATTCAAATTCAAATAATTATTGTATATACAACATGTGTATTTAATTTTATTGCTTATTTACATGTATTTGAAATAGTGACTTGTAAAAAGCATTCTTCATCTTTTATAAATTGTTTTCAGATTACAATTTCCTCATTGAATTTGTGAATTTTTAGGTAAATGAAGTAGAAGAATCTTCAGATACAACTGAATATATTGCTGATTTAACAATGCAAGGTAAATGAAAAATGAACGCAATTTATAAAACATTTACAGGGTTCCCGCTGATCTTAAAAAATTTAATGATGATGAATAATTTAGATTAAAATACAAATAAGAATTCCTTTTTTTTCGATACCAACCTCATCATTCAAAGATCTGTTTGGACAATATTTCTATACAGATACATCTTATTTGAAAAATAACAGAGAGGTGGTCAAAAATGTATTAAATGATTGAAACTTATCTTCTTAAGAAGATAAGTTTTAATCACTTCGCAAAATTTTTTAATGTTCATGGGACCTCTGTACTATAGGATCACAAAAATTTAGCTTACTTCTAATTAATTATTTGNAGCTGGGCAGCAGTTGCTGGGATTCGAACTGGGTCTACTCTTTATAAGGCGAGCATTCTAGCCCTTGAACCATCCTGGCTGAACTTGTACTTTTCGATAAATTTCCTTGAGTTACATCTTGACGAATAGGACAAAAATTCTATTGCCTTCCACAGTGATTTTCCTGTTTATAATACAAACGAACATTTTGCCAGTTTGCATATTATATTTCAAGTTCTTTGTATATTTTTTCAGAGCAAATCAACGCAGAAAAATATTTCCAGTGGTTGATCAATATAAGTTTCCCGAAATCATGCGAGGTTTCCCCAAACCAGTAAGTGTTCTATTTTAGCTTATATGCAAGAATTTAGTATACATTTTTTTAAATATATTTTCAATTAAAATGAAGTTAATTTATTAACTTTTGAGAATAACACTCGAGATATATTGATGTCTTCAGTTGTAAAGTTTTTTTTCCCGGAAGTTCTTTATATTCAAATTCAAATAATTATTGTATATACAATATGTTTATTTAATTTTATTACTTATTTACATGTATTTGAAATAGTGACTTGTAAAAAGCATTCTTCATCTGTTATAAATTGTTTTCAGATTACAATTTCCTCATTGAATTTGTGAATTTTTAGGTAAATGAAGTAGAAGAAACTTCAGATACAACTGAATATATTGCTGATTTAACAATGCAAGGTAAAAGAAAAATGAACGCAATTTATAAAACATTTACAGGGTTCCCGCTGATCTTAAAAAATTTAATGGTGATGAATAAATTATATTAAAATACTATTATGCATTCCATTTTTTTCTATACCAACCTCATAATTCAGAGATCTGATTGGACAATATTTCTATACAGATACATCTTATTTGAAAAATAACAGAGATGTGGTCAAAAATGTATTAAATGATTGAAACTTATCTTCTTAAAGTAATCACTTCGCAAAATTTTTAATGTTCATGGGACCTCTGTGCTATGGGATTACAAAAATTTAGCTTAATTCTACTTAAATGTGTACCGCTGTTTAAAATAGTTTGAAATAAGCTTAGTAGTTGGCAGTTGGCAAATGCTTCGCATGTTGCAACACTTTACCAGAACATGCAAAGGGTAGTAGTTAGCATTGTTTCAATCGTTTCTGATCCACTCTAGTATTCGACCTAAAATTGTAATGATTGAACATTGACATTAATTTTTATGACGAAATCCACAAAGGTAATTTGTATAAATTTTTATAAGAAAAAGAATGTCACTTATTTGAAGATTTTACTAGTTATGTTTTTTTTCATGTAAGTGACTTAAATTATGTTTATAATATTGCTTTTGTTTTAAGCCATGTGCGCAAAAATTCATTTAAAAAAATTGCTGTCAGAAGAAAATATAATTACTCTATATCACCGTTTTACTAAAGAGTAAATTTATATAAGTAAATTAAATAAGTATAAGTAAATTGAATAAATATTTAATTAACGTAGAATTAGAGATTCAAATTAGGTTGAATAGTATTTTAGAATAGTTTTTAAGTTAGGAAGAATAGTATTCTGGAACAGTTTTCATGTTAGCCTGAATAGTATTCTAGAACAGTTTTCAGGTTAGGTAGAATAGTATTCTAGAACTGTTTTCAAGTTAGTTAGAATAGTATTTTGGAAAAGTTTTCAAGTTAGGAAGAATACTATTCTAGAACAGTTTTCATGTTAGCTTGAATAGTATTCAGAAACAGTTTTCATGTTAGATATAATAGTATTCTAGAACAGCTTTCAAGATAGGTAGAAGGGCATTCTAGAAATATTTTCAAGTTAGGTAGAATAATATTCTAAAACAGTTTTCATGTTAGCTTGAATAGTATTCTGGAACAGTTTTCATGTTAGCTAGAATAGTATTTTAGAACAGTTTGCAGGTTAGGTAGAATAGTATTCTAGAACAGCTTTCAAGTCAAGTAGATTAGTATTTTAAAACCATTTTCAAATTAGATGGAATGTGTTAGATAGTATTAATGAGTATTTATTCAAATAATGTAGTTAGGAAGTGGGAGTATTAAAATAAAGTAGTAGAAAAGAAGCAAAATTCAAGTAAGGTAGTAGAGAAAATCATAATAAAATAAATTTTCTTACTAGTTAGTACTTAGGCAGTTAAATAATAACTGATTTTTGTAAATTTTCATGAATATTATAGTTATTATTAGTATTTTATTTCAATTACTATGTTTTTGTTCTGATTTTCTGGTGTTAAAGAAAAAAAATATTGCATTAAAATGATGTTGATTATTTGTATAGCAACTCTTTTATACGCTTAATTTAAGATTTTTAATTCATATTTCCAGGCATTCCTGTTAGCCAGGGTGTTGTTAAAGGATATGCTAGGGTAGCCGTATCTCTGGATCAAGCTGCTCAATTAAAGGTACTTGTGTATGCGTAAAAGTAACAACTACATAGCAATTAAAATAAAGTTTTTTCAGTTTTTATAAACATTAGCTTTGTTTTGAAATATGTAAAATACACTTTGATATGACTTTTGAGACTAATATATAAACTTTCCGCTTCTAAAATTGCTTATTTTTATTTAATATAATCTATGATTTTTCTCTTTGTGACAATTTTTAGCACTGTTTGTTATTAATTTTGCAACCAAAGAATATCTTCAAAAATACGTAACATAGGTTTAAATATTACAAACTGTTACTTGTTCCTATTTTTTCGAAACATCAAAATATTTGCAGTTGTTGAGGAAAATCAATTAATTGTTCCGCCATTTTTTAAACTTTAGCCGGATCTTAACATCATTACATGATTATCAGATTCTTAATTATGTAGGTGGGGAATATACTTTTTAATGGTGGACAAAATTATTTGTACTCATTTGAAAATGCTTTTTGTCACAAAGGGAGCAGTTGTCAAATGAAAAATTCACAAGTAGCAAATAATAGGGTATAATTCTTATTTCGTTAATCTGAATCTCAGAGTACAGTATATTAGATAGCATTTGATATAATTTTATAACTTAAAAAATAATATTTTGAGTTTTTTTTTCATGCTTGTATGCCTTAATAAAGCCATTGTCTATATTTAAATACAATTCTATATACTCTCTTCAGTTGGAGTTTTTGATCGTAATGAAAAGCTTTGATTCAAGTAAAGTTTTGACCGTTTTATGGGATATAAATAGCTTACTATTGTTCAGTCTTGTAGATTTTATTTCCTGACCGAAATATAAAGAAATAAACTATAAAAGTTTCCTTGACTATTCAAAAATGATAAAAACAAATATTTTTTATTTACTTAGTAATTAAAAATAACTAAGAATGTAAGACAAGATTAATGGTTTTTCAAATATTTTATTACCTTTATGAGTTTATTTTCTTCTTGGTGAAAATCTCTTCTTCTTTAATTATAGCTCAGTTTTTCTAGGAATTAGTTTAGCCTAAACTCTCACATTAAGGGGATGTACTGTTAAAAAAAAATGTTTTCCAATCTTCTGTTTTTTTTTCTTTAATTATTTGCTTTTATTTCAAAAAATAGATAGCATTCATATGTGAGTACATTTTCTTGAACATATTTTCCTAATTTGAAAGCTCACGTGCAGGAATATGAAAAAATTCTTAGTTTTTATGTATTTGAAGTATGGGTAAAATTAATTTCAAGCAATTTTAATTGATGTTTTTACAATTATGTTTTTATAAACAGTTGCGATAGTATCTTCAATTTTCTACTGATTTAAGATATTCGGATGAATGAAAATCTGAAATTTCGACGAAAATGTCGATTCCTTTTACGATCCATATCTGATCTTCAATTTATTAGCTCTGAGAAGCCTTTTAAATTTTTTATCTCTGATTTTCAGAAATGAAGCTATAGTTTTTTTTTTTTTGCTTATATTCACAGAGGAAACCAATAACCGAAATCAACTTCCAAAAACGAAACTAAAATGTTTCTTGCTGTGCTTGCGTATTTTAACTATTTTTTATTTGAATAAATTATGCAATTTTTTTTTAATATGAAATTTCTTGTATTTTAAATGCATTATCAAAAGATTTAATATTTTTAGAAAATTTCTTTACGCTAACACACTCTACAAAAAAATTAATGTTAATTATATTTTTAGCCAGGTGAAATTTTGATCGCTTACAGTACAGATATTGGATGGAGTCCATATTTCCCAATAATATCTGGTGTTGTCACAGAACTTGGAGGACTCATCTCACATGGTAATGCAACATTAAAGCCTTTATTATATTACTTTTCATGTTCGCAACTTATAAAATTCTATTTTCCAATGTTTTACGTAGCGTATTTGAAGCATATTAGTTCAATGTTGAAAATCAAATACTTTAAAATTGTATTTTCAAAGACATATAACATTTGAAACATAGTTTTTCATTTAAACATATTTATAAAAAGAAACTAATAAAATAATTTTTAAGTTTTTCATTTAAGCATATTTATAAAAAGAAACTAATAAAATAGTTTTTACTGAACGAAATAGATAATATATAGATTGTTCGAAATACTTATTTACCGTAGTGAGAAAAACTCCCCCTGGATTTAAGAACAACTAGTGAAAACGCTATTTCATTCTTAATTTACATTCATCTCACAGATAGGGCATCGGTGATTCTTTTATATTTTTCTTCTGACGCTCTTATTACAAGCAGAAATATATTGTGGTATTTTTTAAATACGAAAAATAGTCTAATGGCTTCTAAAAAAATCTGTTAGATTGTCGGAATTATATTTGTACTAAAATATAAAATGCAGAAAAAAAGTAGTTTGAAATTTTTTTAACCATTCATATCCGAAAATTTAGCAATAATTTATTGTACGAATTAAAGAAATTTCAGTCGTGAGTAACTATTTCTTCTAGTCCTAAACAACTGTAAATCAGTGCAAATTTGATAAGTTATTGCTTAAATGTGAAAGGAAGATTTTTCTTTTAACGCAGAAAAAAAAAGATCGGTGTTTCTTGTTGTATTTCATAGACATAAACTATTAAAACGCTAAGTATAATATTTTTCCTTTATTCTGATCTAAATTATCACAAAATACTGAAAAAAGTATAGAAAATATATTAGCTTTTATTTTAAGCATTCCATGTTTAATGCTATAGATTTAAAATTGAAAATTGGGCTTGCAAAAAATATAAAATTTAAAAATTTAGTTTTTTCACCTAAGCATATTGTTTTATGTCAGATAAAATGAATAAAAGAAATTTCACTGAAAGAAATGGACAATATATAGACTTAAAACAATAATCTGGTTCATTGTTTAATATAAGAACATTGTTTAAAATAACATTTGTTGAATTTTAATAAAGGTGCTGTTGTAAGCAGAGAATATGGACTTCCTTGCGTTGTTGGACTTCGAGGAGCCACAAAGCAGTTTAAAACAGGTATGCAATAAAAGTAGTGGAATTCTTTTGAAGTATGTATAAATACTAAGAGTTTAATTTAAAAATTACAATAACTTCTCTATTACACTGAACATTTTCATTTAGTAGTTGTTATTTTAGGTTTAATTAGCATTTTTCACTAAAAATGCATTAAAATATGTTATGACGGACTGAAAAGTATATCATTATATTCCGTCAAGTCTTTCAAATATTAAAACTACGTAACGAAGACAGCAATGCTGATAGTGATACGGAATACCTTCAGACGCACCTGTTCTGTGGTAGCTCGAATGGCGTGGTGTACAATTTGAATGAGAAGAAATATCTCCGCTCTTGAAAATGAGACAACCCTTAATACGCTTCAAACGCAAATAGTTTTAAATTTGAAAACTGCTATTTTCCCTGCAAACTGTCTCGAAAAGGACAAGGCGGAGCCAAGTGCCAACTCCTGTTGAACAAACCATACCCCGTTGAAGAATTTCATGAACTTTCTTTACTGTTCTGTAAGGCAATACAGATTCTTCGCAAGACTCTAGAATAAATGTTCTAGTTTATCTACATCAATCAGGTTAATCTTTCGCCTTTTTAAGATCTTGATGACATTGATATACTCGTACAGTCTTTGGTACATTAAATTTTTATCCAATTTAATTGTTCTTGTTTCGAAAGCATCGTGTCACTATACATAAGAGCTCCAGGAAGCTCAAAGCTCTATTTGCTTCGTCAGTGCGCTTGCGCTTTATGTTGGAAGGTAACGTAAGTGTGATCTTAGGTTAGGTAGGTATGTAATTAACGTGCGGTATAAGTAACGTGTGATATAAGTAACATTATTCATTGAAGTTACATGGTGTATATATCATGTACAGTCCGCAAAAAAAAAACGAA